AGCAGGAAGAACTTTAGAGCAGTTTTTGGATAACAGTGACCGTGACATCTCTCCTGTCTGTCTACAGAGGACCTTAGTATCAAACCACCAAGAGTTAAACAGTCTCAACAGCATGGAATCTGAGCACAGGGCAGTAAATGCGACAAAGCACAGGTAAATGATTCTTACGATGATGGCAAAGGAATCACCAGGCAGCAGCAGATCTGATATAAGGGAGGGCTGAGGCAAAGGTCAGAAGCAGGAGATTCCAGATCAGACAGTCAGGGACAGACAGAGGACAACAAGATGTCAATCCAAAAATCTGTGCTGGAATGTATTGCATTTCAACAAGAAGGTCACTGGTCCAATCACTAGTAGATCTTTCTGTTTTGAGTTTGGACGTTCTAGTCGTTGTCTGCGTGGGTGAGGAGCTGGCTGTAGAACGTGTGGAACCTCACCTTCACCTTTATTGCGTTTAGAAAGACTAAAACTACAGATGCTTCCTCTCTTTTTCCAGGTCAGCCATTCAAGCTTGACCCAAAGACGGCCCACAAGAAACTCCGTCTTTCCAATGACTGCCTGACCATGGAGAAGGATGAAAGTTCCCTAAAGAAGAGCCACACTCCGGAGCGTTTCAGTGGCACCGGCTCGTACGGAGCGGCCGGTAATGTCTTCATAGACAGCGGGTGTCACTACTGGGAGGTGCTGCTGGGAGCATCCACCTGGTAAATACACACTTACACAGGCCTGTGATGGAGTGTGTTTGTGGGAAAATGATACAAAACCTACACACACACACAACAAATTATTTTTAGTCAGAGGGCCCAGACTGCCTCGGCTCTCCTCAGCATGTGGCAGCTTTTTCAGGTCACTGGGGGGAAAACTAGTTCAATACCCATAATAAATTCCACTGTGTCTCCTGTTCCCGCAGGTATGCCATTGGCGTGGCCTACAAGTCAGCCCCAAAGAATGAATGGAGCGGGAAAAACTCATCCTCATGGGTTCTGTCGCGCTGCAACAATAACTTCATGGTGCGCCACGATGGCAAGGAGATGCTGGTGGAGGCGAGCCTGCAGCTGAGGCGGCTCGGCGTCCTGCTAGACTATGACAACAACTCGCTGTCGTTCTATGACGCCATGAACTCACAGCACATTCACACCTTTGAAATCTCCTTCATTCTGCCCGTTGTACCTACTTTTATGATCTGGAACAAGTCGGTCATGATTCTCTCAGGGCTGCCTGTCCCTGACTTTGTGGACATCTTGAGCTCAGATCTCCAAGAGCAGCAGCAGCAGATGGGCCTGTGTCGACAGGAGTCGCCATATTTGAGCGGGATGAAGACATGCCACTGAGGAAGGGCCGACGGCGGAGCAACAGTAAGGCCCAGTGACAGGTTGACTGTGAGCTGAGTTGACCGAGAGTCCGTTGGAGTGGACTGGTTACTGGTTTTTATTGATTTTAGAAAGTGATGGAATTATGCACACCATAGCCCTGATAGTCTGTAGACATCCGACGCTCTCAGAATACAAAATAATGTCTCCTGACTGGAAAACTATCAGGTGACGTAAAAGGTTTCTGATGCTCTGGTGTCAGTGAGGAAGATCTGTCGACAATGGACAGTCTCACAAGTTTGTTAACGATTCAAGGTCTTCCATCGATCGTTTTCTTTATCTCAACTTGACCACAGACAAGAGACAGAGGAGGAAAAGTTGTTAAAAGTTTGAACAGTGACATTAATAAGTGATTTCGACCAAGCCACAATAAAAGCAGAGGGCTCCAAAAAGAGAAAAATGATCACTTCACAATTCATTGTATTTATTTTGTCTTAACATGTTCATGTTAAATGACCAGACTTTTTGGACTGGGAGACTTTGACTTATTTTGGGATTTAATTTATTACTGAAGCATTACCTCAGTAACTATCGTAGGCGTCACCGTTTGGCTAGCATAATGTGAACGACATCACTGTTCACATCTTTCGTCCTCCATCATTGTCAGCTGTTGGTCTCCACCAAAGTGTTATCGTGATGCAGCAGCTTCCCAGGTTATGACAAGGTCACAGAGGTTACAGTATATTAGCATCACGTGACTACTGGACGTGTACAATAAGAGATTTTATTGAATACTAGAGGACAGAGTGTTATTTATGAGATAAAAGATGGTTTAATTTTATTATTAATGTCAATGTATCCATGCACTTTTGAATTAACACCCCCGCCCCCAAACCCCTTTGTGAGTGTTTGAATATGTGGAGCTGGGCGGAAACAAGAAGAAGTTTCAGCTGGCTCTACTGCTGTCCATGTCCACTTATATTAACGGTTGAAATGATAAGAGTCTTAGAATGGTGATTAGATATAAATATGAAAAAAAAATTCAAATTGATCATTCAAAGCACTTTGCCATAAAACAGAAACGTCTGCTGTAAAATGATCAGAGAAATGTTTCCAACTTTTCCTCCTTATTTTTAACATTGTATAAATGTATCTTCAATTTTGAAAGGGACGTGGTTTTTATGATTCAGTACTTGATTGATGATTTTTATTTTGTTTTGTTATTGTTGTGAAATTCACTCTGTTTTAGAAATAGAGGGTCAACACGTGGCTCCACTGTATGATTGGTTTACACACAAACTCACACACACACACACTCGTGTCATGTTTTGTTTATGGTGGTCTCGTTGTAATTAATGCATGTTATGTCACGGCATCACTCAGTTCATTCAGGAATTTCCACTGATCTTCCATAAGTTCACCACTGCTCCATTTGATTCTCAGCATTTTCTACTGGTTCCATTGTGTCACCTGGTACTGGGTTTCCATAGATGGTGTCTCTCTGGTTTGATTTTTAGGTGGTGACGAAGATTCAGACAATCAAATGAATGGGTTTCATTGTTTATGCAGATTTATGAGGTTACACAACAGGAATACTAGAACGGCACTGTGATGAAATTGAGCTTGTGTTTAAAAAAAATGAAAATGAAAAAGATTGACTTAGCTTGTTTCACTCCACGTACATTTTTATTCACTTTGCATATCATCCGACATGTCCTTGACGTTTAATGTCATGAAACACTTCACATGACTGAGAGGATGACTTGCTTGACTGAGAGTGAAAACAGACAAACTCTGCAAATATGCACAGTGTACAACCATTTGTAGTGACCTTGGTCGAAGCAACTTTCTCTGAAGAGCCAAATTCAGACACATGTCCAAATCCCAGTGGGGAAATATTATATATTATGTTATATAATTTTTCAGGTCAGATTCAGTTTGATTGCCTCCATGTCTCGGGCTGCAGAAACGGACCATGATGATATTAGTGTGGAGCCAGGGCTGTTTTCCTGTCAGGATCATTAATTATAATATTTGCCTGACTTTCATTCATCCGCCCATCCTGTTGAATGTCGGTCAAAGGCTGAAAAATAAACCTGCTGATTTGTGATCTGCTCTGACACGTGCAATTCATCTGCTCAAGTGTGCTTGGCTGGGTCACTGCATGATTACGTGACCTCGCTTCAGGTCCATAACTCTGCCTTTATATTCACGATGAGGTTTACTGTATAGAGTCAAGCCGTCTCTGTCTTTTCCCAGAAAACAGAACATGGCCAGAATTCTCCTCCGCTGAACATATCCTGGTAATTTGTTTGTTTAGGGTTTTTTTGGTTTGTTTTTTGTTTTTTTGCATTTATCCTCAGTCAATTTCGTAAAAATATACAGTGAATGACTTTCAATAGCAACCCGCTCCTCGTAGTGAAGTGTAATACTCTAGATACAACACAATAGATTCTCCTCTTTGCATTTCGGTTTGTGTGACTTTGAAAAGTTTTAGGGTTTTTTTTTGTTTGTTTGTTTTTTTAAATCAGCTGACGAGGAACATGCTCCCCCTCCTGTTGACACCTAGAACTGAATAAACAGCACAAAAAAAGAGCAAGCTTTGGTTTCCTGCAAGGCTTTCTGTTAAAAAAAAAAATCCTGATTTTATCCAGAGATGAATATTAAAACTTGGGGGAAATATATATTATATATAAAGTTGTATAATATACAAAATATATATGAACCAATGTTATTTATGTGAATCCAAGTCCAAATAAAATCTGATCCCAGCAGAGTTGTGTCGTTTCCTTCTAAATGTTTTTTGAAAATCAGTTACCATATTCCCCTGCAGCACTAGACACTTCATTTTCATACCGAGCTGTGGAGCTGTACACCTCCAACAACTTGAGGGTAAAACTCCATTAATCAAGTATTTATTTGGTATTTACCTCCCTCAAATGTATGTGCAGCAGCTTAAAAAGAGTTTAATTTAGATTTGGAGAAGAGCTGTGAGCTAATCCTGCTCCTCACCAACTCCAGAGAAAATACAGATGGGGGGCAGCATCACAGCAGATGATGCGTCTTTGATAACACAGTGACATATTATTCTTATATCTGTTTGTTGATATTTGATTTTTAACTACAAGTCCTAAAAAACAGCTTATTTGGGATTTTATCTGGGTTATAATTAGATTTTCCTCAGTGTGATCAGATTGGCTAATGAGTGTGATGAAGACTTTGATGTCTTTGATCAGTGGCAACATCTTAACGTTTTCCAGTTTATATCTGTGAGTCTGTGCAAAAGGGCAAAATACTGCTCTCTCTACAGGTGTCTGTAGTACACACACGTTTTTGATCTGGATACTGTGTACAGATGATGATAAAACTGAGAAGCTGAAGGATATTACATTCTGTTTGTTCTTACTCCAACCTTTCAGAAAAAAAACTATAATTACTTCTCTAACTGCTAAATGATTAGGACTTCCTGTGAAGCTCATTACGTCATTTGTCACCTAACGTGTGACATGCAATTATTCTGTAATTAACAAAAGAAAAGTCAAGGTGGCATTTACTACGGAGTCATATTTAAATAAATCCTGTAAATAAAATATTCATGTATTATAAGTAGCAGTAGCTGTGGGTCAAAACCATATCAGTCGTAGCAGGCAGACAAAGTAGTAGTAACACATTTTAAGGGTCACCTCATTGACCCCTGGGGATTCCGGAAGCCTACTTAAATCAAAAGCCATGTAAAATTGCTGTACGTCTAAAAATGGCTTCATTCTAACTCGGAAATATGGTAAGGTCGCATGCACTGCCCCCAGAGGACACTAAAAGACTAATGTATGCTGCATCACCAGCAGGCAATACATTA